TATATGTGTATATGTATATATACATAGTATACATACATATATTATTTGTACTATAGTTGTTTACTCAAGTGTCATGTTACACTCTACCTGTAGTGTGCTAGATCATACTAGTTTGAATCATGATATATTCTTCTATATTCTAGCAGAGACCATGCCAGGCCCCAGAAGGGTGGAAGCCTGAGGATGAGGTGCACGGCCAGCAGTTCGAGATTACCGGCACTTGCCGCAAAGCCGTCGGGGTTTCCATTCGGCTGGTTGGGGGTTGGAGAGCGCGCAGGCCAGCAGAGCCATCCACCGTTGGGGATCATCTGCCAGGAAGAGGAGGAAGAACCTGTTCCTCGTCTTTGCATCGTGGACGAGGCATGGCGCAGCCCAGGATTGAGGTCAAACGGAGTGGCCGTTGGGATGTGGGAAGTTGAAGATGTGTTGGGACATGGTATTTCTTATGTAACCGTGAAGCACACAGCGTTCCGAGTGGAAAAACTACAAGCAAGCCACCTGGATCCGGAACGGAAAGCAAGGATTCAATTTAATGAAATTAGACCCAGGCCACATTTACATTTAATGTTCCTATTGTCTCCTCAGCTTACTTGGCTGTAACACTTTTCGTATCATGTATTTGTGTAACTAGGTGTTTGTGTGCAGGTTTCACCAATGTTTGTCGACATTCCCATGCGTTCTTGGTATCTCTCCTGTCCTACTTCCCGTTCCATTCATTTAAAGACTGGTGCTGTATGGAACGCCTTGAACACATTGCCTGCATACGTGCGGATAAGAAAGACGAGCTATAGTGAGCATGGATGGTCCAGAGGGTCATGTCATGTATAGTTGGACGTAGAGCACCTGAGAGGTGGGCAAGATGGGCCTACTGTCCGTTCAATTCCCCAAGACGCTGGCACGGGTGTTGAAGGAAGTCGTCTCCTCAGCATCTCATCTCCGAATCGGGTTCGAAGCCAGACTGGGGCTCACTGAGGACACTGTGCTGGCGACCGGGGTGCAGATGGTGCACACCTCAGCGTCAACCATCCCGAGCCTCCGCAGTAAGCGAGGGACCAAGCTGTTCCCTGGCAGTTGCTTGGTGAAAGGCAAAGGGTCAGCGGGACCCTGAACCTGTCGAAGAGATCAAAAAGAGCCCTGGCGCGCGCCCGCAGCTCGGGAAGCTGGGCTTCGGTTTAGAGAGTTGGTTCGAGACTTCGAACTTCTGTGGTCTAGGGCTGAAGGTGTTGTGAAGCTGACGCGTGGAAATCGGGATGCGGTGGTGGAGCAGGCCCGGCACTCCACAGAAGGCATAGGTGGCATAGGATCCACGTCTCTCCACGGTCCGCACTTGCCTTGCAGACCTACGCATTCCTGCGCGAAAGTCTTGGACTGGGCCCACCGGGCACCGGAAAGCCCAAGCCCCGACGAGTCGACAAGAAGAAGCGGAAGGAGCTCTGCGACTCGTCACAGAGTCCGCCAGTGGTAGGGCACCCTTTAAAGACTCCGCGCGCGAGATGCGCCCGCACTGGAAGGAGGAGGAGCGAAGAGCCAAAGAGCAAGCTGAGCGCGAAGCCCGTGAGCGCGAGGACAGTCTGCTTCTGGCCGCCCTGAGTTTACGAGCCCGACCAGTGCAGGAGAAGGAACGGGAGGAGGCTGCTGAACAGGAGAAGGCGGCCAGGACCGTCATGGGACCTGGGAGGTACTGGGAGGTTATGACTTTGAAATGATTGATGGGCCCTGAAGAGCCGTACAAGAGCATCAACAGCTGATGTCTTCAACTGCTTCTATGAACTGTCGTCCAGGAAAGAGAGACAACTCGTCCCGAACTGAGCCGGGATCGCCACAGAGCATGATGCAGCCTGCCAAGTCCTGACGTCATGAGCCGAAGGAGCCTTGTAGATCAGAGTCCCGAGCCGTCTGCCACTTGACTCCTTGAAATCCCACGGCCCTGCTTCTGCACACTGTGCAGAGCAATGAGTCGGCAAATGTCTCCCACGCTTCTAAGACTCAAGGCCAAAGAAAGAGCCCGAGCTGAGCGCCTAGCGAAGGAGCCAAGACACAGACCTGAATTGCGGCAGCAGATTCTTGGGATTTCCTGCTCGTACCATGATCGACCTTGATGCCCATTCCAAGGTCTCTCTGTGAGTGCGGGTCCTACAGGGTAGGCTGTAATATATTATAATATATTATAATATACTATAATATAATATAATATGTACTATAATATACTATAATATACTATAATATAATATAATGTATTGCCATCGCAGGAGAAGGCAGAGAGAGAAGTCGAGGCAGCCAAGGCACCCGTGCCGCGGTGATCGTACTGCCGTGGACAAATTCTACCCTGCTGCGTCACTTTTGCAAATTGTATAACATGACCAGGACTTGGAATCATATGCTAAAGTTAAAGCAAGAGACGGTGAGCTAGTGACGCATTTTGCAGACTTTGCTGGCCTCCTTCCTGTTAATTGTGCTAGAGACGGTTGCTGCTTTGAGCAGGCGCGAGCCGAGCGAAAGAGGCGTGCCGAAGCGAGGCAGAAGGCAAGATTGTGACACGTCGCCTGACACAGGTGATTCGCTCCAGCGACCTGTCTTTCTATCTATACCTAGTACCTACCTGTCTGTCTGTCTGTCTGCTGTTTGTCTGTCTATCTTTCCGTCTTTATTTCTATCGATCTATCAATGCATCGTGTCTCTGCCAGGTCGTTCGGAGTTCTGTCGTTTCAGTACGAATTTGTTCATTGCTGTGGGTCGGCTCTCCCCTTCCGTCCTTATCCTGTTCTTCTCTTCTCGGCCCTTTCTTTCTTTCCCCTCCCCCTCCCCCTTTCCTTACTACTCCTTCTCTCCGTTTCTCTTCCAGACGCCTTGTCCGCCGCATTTCACATACCAGCTGATGCAGATCACGCACCTGTGCTTGGTTAGTTCTGCGGGGGATCAGAACTGGCCACAAAGATCCGACGTTGACGGCTTCTTAGTAGTAGCATTGATGCTAGGTGTCGTACCCATGTGTTTCTGGCGCTCTCGCCTACAATGTTGTTGTCCGCATTGCTCGGTGACGCGATCATTCTTTTCTGTATTGTTGACACTAGAAAATGTCCTTGCCACTATTCCCACAGCAGGATGTTGATGGTTTTGCAGTATCATTGACTAAGACTGAGAGTACGTTTAGAACAGCTGTGACGTGGAAGGCTGCCGAGGATGCCAAGAATGGTCTCGTGGGTGACTCAGCCATGCCTTCACATGCGGAGGAGGGTTTGTGTGGCCGGTAGATTCTTGTGTTGAGAGAGACTGAGCCTGCTAGACAATCGTGACTTCTGGAAGGTTCCTTGCGTGGAACATGATGATGAAGAAGACGTGGAGGCAACAGTTGCCATGCCAAAGGCTTGATGATGATGGTCACTGCGTGGTCGCCTGTAGATTTTGCAGGCTGTGGCTCCGTCCTTTGATTTGGTGGAGGACATCGACATTGTAGAGGACGCGTGCGCAATTGTCAGGATTTTGAGGCTTAGTTTTTCAACTTGACGGCCATAAACGTCACAGCCTCCTGACGTGTCCACTTCAGGAGAAGGCTGCTCCTCCCCGGAAACGGCGGAAAGGGCAGCCGTCGCCCGTGTCTTCCGCGCCTTCCCTAGCCAATCCTAGCCACGCAGCTTGGGTTTTTCTGTTTGGTGGTCCGCCTGTCCGTCCGGTGGGTGTTGGGCAGGGACGGCAGGATGGCTGTGTTAGGATTGTTGTCCTAAAGAGGATTGAGTGATTCCGACACCCCTCAAGGACAATTCGGAGAATTTCATACTGTGCAGGTCATCAAAATTCAGCCGGACATGCAAAGAGCTCCAGATTGTCCACTGAGGCGGGCAGCTCCCCGCCGGAGCTTCCGGCTTCACCCGAGGCTGGACTACGGACAGAGCGATTCTGCAACATGTTGGGGACTGCTCTTGGGAAGGGGTCGCCATCTCCCACTGAGCCTGTCGATGGCTTAAAAGTTGGGCAGGCGCGGGACTGGCAGAACATGCTGAGCAAGTGCTAGAGCTGCTCGAGCCAAAGCCCGCCCAGTCCACTGCCCCTTTGCGGATGGTAAAGTTGCTAGTCTCGCTAGGGCCGACTACTGGCGCTGACACTTGGTCCAGGTGCCAAGTGCACTGTTGCCCCAAGAATTAGAGGCTTCCTTGGCATGGGAGAGCTCCGCCGGCAGCTGGTCTGCTTGTGGGCCCCATCCCAGGTCGGCCTTGTATTACTTGCGATTTGCCGGGAATGACAGAGAGAGTCCAGAGGGTAGGACCTTCGACAACTGTTATAGTGAGCCGTGATGGTTTTTTATCAAGATTCTGACTGTCGCATCCCTGTTTGTATGCAGGCCCCTGCTGCTGCAATGGCTCTTCTAGCAACAACCTGCCGCTCACACTTGAGTGTCGCGAGGCTCCTCGCGCATCAGCATTCTTTTAAATAAGGGGTGTGTAGTTTCATTTAATTTGTTGTCCACGGTTGCTGAGCTGGTCCGAGTGATGTTGTGGATGATCGAAGTGCAAGTGTTTGGAGCTATCGGAGGCTTGGCTTGTGGCTTCGCCGAAGCGCAAGCTCCCAGGTCCAGGCAGAGGGTGCAGCTGACGTGCAGAATGAGAAGCCCCAGAGAGCAGTTACATCCAGCCAGACCTCGCAGAGGAAGGGCCCAGGGGCCTTAATTGATTTCGAGTTTATTGACAGGGCCCTTGAGCCGCATCGTCATGCCCGCGATGCTTCTGACACTTGGAGTGGCCTCCGGGCGACAGTGGAAATGACTTTGAGCCGGGGCAACTTGGATACTCACTTATGGTGGCGCCATGCGGCGGATGCGCGCAAGCGCTTGCTTGAGTGGAAGTCGACGGTGCAGACTTCTGAAGATGCCATCGACGCAACGGCTGTCATTGTGTCGTGTGCGCGTGCGGAAGTCGAGCCACGAACAGGTGTTTACGCCTCCTGGATCCGGGCAGTGCTGGCATCTAATGCACGCAGGCATGCAAGGCCACTTTTTTCCGTCGGTGAAGTGTCAGCTGCTGCTGCCTTTCTGGGCAAGGCTGGAGCACTGCCGCCCGACGCACGATTTTGGCACGATGGCTTCCCATCTATTGTCAGAGTTGCTGGTGGCCTCTCGTCATCCGAGATGGCACAGGCAACTGCAGCCTATGCCTGCGTCAGCCTCTCGGCTGCTGCTGGTCATGCAGGACACGCCGTCTTCGACTCGGTGGAATCCCAGCTGCCTTTTGTGGAAGTTTCTGCTCATGAGGCTGCTGTACTCATTTGGGCGCACAGACGTTGTGGGCGACTCTCCGCATCAATGTTTCGTGATCTCTGGGTGAGGTCCTTGGACAGCAGGCTCAGCGAAGTGAGCCCAGAGCTTCTGGCAGCCCTGGCGCATGCGATGGCCAGTGTCGGGCTGCCCATGCTTTCAAAAGCGTCGAGTGCAGTTCCAGCTTCACAGCTGTTGCAGTCGCTGAGCAGACGCAGCAAGAAGCCGGCTTCGGTGGACCTTCTTTGTCGCAGCGCTGGGGTGTTGGCAGACGCAGGTCTGCGACCTAGTACCAGTAGCAGGTCCGAGCAGTCCGCAGCACCCTTAATTAGCCATAAGCCCAGGTCGATTCGGAATTTCGGCAGCTTCACACCTTGCAATGGGGTGCACCAGGATGGGTCTAAGAAGCGAAGAGAGAAGAGGTCACCTCAGCTGACAGGCCAGGGCAAGCCTGTAAGCACAGAACAAAGCACGGTCAAACGCGCGAATGCTGTGAACATCAACTACGTCACTGGGATTGTTTTCTGTCGTTGCTGCATGTTGTTGCCGCTCATCGCGAAAGCTGGCTCTGCGGAGCTTGCACGCATTATCGTTTACCATTCACTTAGGGGAATTATATAGGTCAAAATCGTGTCAACGACCTTATCTGGTCATTCACACTGGTTAACGCCGGGGGGGGGGGGGTGCCTCGTGGGCCCTCCCACGCCACCCACAACGCAGATGGTTGATTCAGAAGCACTAAGGCACTAAGGAGGGCCCCCCACTTCCTTCAAGGTGGCAGGGGGAGGACCCCCCCTTCCTCTCCCCCACCTTAAGGCCCATCTGTTTGCGCAACATCGCAACTTTCATTTTGTCTTTACCCGGCCGAGTGTGTCTATGTACCAGAGGTAATAGTAGCAGGTTTCAAGCCCGCTGCCTCAGTAACTAGGTAAGATGCCACCAGGACAGTTCGATTCTGCTCGCAGATGGCCGAGTTATCGCCTATGCAAAGACATGCCGGAAGTCAACGAGGTTTGTCAACGTACTACGGTACGACAAGGGTGTCTGTACTGGGGGCAGTATGAAGCATCAAGAATCCTTCCGCATGTCCCTAAACGCTAAACCTTTTTGCAACAGGCCATCAACGAATCTCTAAAACACCCGCTTTCGTGTCCCAAGTTCATCAGGTTTAGTGATGCCTTCGGATGCCTGGATGGTGGTTGAAGCAGCAGCGCCGATCCTCGCGCAGATCTCCGACTTGGGTCGAGCGGAGCCTCGGCTTCTTTTGGGCTGCAGGGTTTAGGGCGTAGTAGTCTTGCTTAATTCTCCCGATGGGCTTTGTTGTTGCTCTTATCGTGGTTCTTGTTCTTCTTCTTATTCTTATCGTTCTTGTTATTCTTGTTCTCGTTCTCGTTCTTGGTATTAGTCTTCTTGTCATGCGTATTCTCGTTCTGGTTCTTCGTCTTCGTCTTCTTCTTCCTCTTCTCCTTGTGCTTGTTCTTGTTGCTGCCCTGCTGCTGTTTGGTGATGGTCGTAGGGTGGTTGCTGCTCGCTGCTGGCTGGTTGCCGGTTGTCGGTTGTCGGTTGTCGGTGCCGCTGCTGCTGCTGCTGCTGCTGCTGCTGCTGTCGTTGTGGTCTTTGATTCTTGTCTTAGTTGCTTCTGTCCAAGTGACAACCACAGTACACATGGCCTCCCCCTAAAGAGCAGCGGACTGGACACTTGTAGCACACGCGACATGCTGCTTACATCACTCATTCCTGGACCCTCGAATCACGCAAGCCCTCTCTACGACATGCCCCCTGAGCCCGGACAGGCTCAGTTAGTGGTGGTGGCTACTTAAGAGCTATGCAGTTTTTAACCCGCTGACCCCAAATTTCGTAGTGTTCCATGGATGGGAACGAGCCCAGGAGCTCTTTCGCATGCTGGCCGTACTCGGCATCGACGACGAGCCCGTTCTGTCGCTGCTGCAAGCAGGTGCCCCACGGCAGGCAGGAGCTGGGAACCTTTGACCCGAAAGTCTTTATAGGCCCCGTTTTTATACCCTAAACTGGCGAAGAGATGTGCGCTGCTGCTCAGTCAGGCCAGCCGCAGCCTAAGGGAGCCCGGAACCGTAATGCAACTTGTAACAATCATGCTCTAACGTCAGGAATTTCCTGCAGGGTTACAGTGGATCATTGAATCAGCGGCCGGGTTGGCTCGGAGCTTAGATGCTGACGCGATGTCGCGGGTCGACGGAAATCTAAAATCTCCGGTGGATGAGACAAAAAATGCCTTAGTGTCATAGTGATATGTCATGGCAGGGGCTGCTTGCCGAAACGCCGCAAGCATTCGAGCTAAGCGCTGCTGGCTTGCCTACCGCACAGACTCTCGGTCGAGGCCGTGACATGCCTGAAACTAGCCTTCGCCTGCCCGTGCACGCCGTCACCTCCATAGACTCTACAATATATAGTATAATCTAATATAGAAAAATATAGTATAGTATTATATTAGCATAGTAAAATATAATATTTATAGTATAATGTAAGATATGTCCGGCAACGTAAGGTGAGTCGCCGGCAGCTTCCCAGGCAGCTGCGGCCTTTCTGGAGGCTTCGGCTCTCCTAGCAAGTGGACCCACTTCGCCGGATCTGATCGATGGGCCGCTCAACTCTATTGAATCCTCGCATGCAGGAACGAAGGGGCCCTGAGCGTACTGTTTGAGATTATTTGAGGGCGGCGGAGGCTCTGGCTGGAGCCAGCGCCTCGACGCAACTGCGCTCGGTCTTGGCCCTGACTTCGCTGGGACACTCCGCAGCGGCCAAGCTGGAGGAGCCCTGAGCCTGCTTTCAAGCGGTGCTTGTGGTTCGCTTTTACGCTTACCTTCGGCTTCGCTTCGGATCTCGCGCTTCCTGACGGGGTCAGGCAGAGCTTTGGGATCGCCCCCTCTTGTGCTACGATGCGGCAGAGGCTGAAGAGCTCCTAAGGCCCGGCAAGATTTTGCACGAAGCGAGCAGTTCATCTCCAGCTGCCCACAGGCTACTGCCAGCCCTGGCGTCTCGACCCAGCAGAAGCCTGCTCCATGAGATCATTGGCTTCCTCACTGAAGATGGCCCGAGATGCCAACTTTCAGCAGATCAAGGCATTCAACGGAATACTGGAACACCTTGATGGCAAAAGTGACTCGCCCTTGTTGTCAGCTGCAGGAGCAAGCGCAGTGCTGTCATGCTCCCTTCTCGACACAACTATGGACGCGTGGCAGCTCGCGGTTGACGGTGAAGGAATGGTTCCCGAGGTCTCATCAGAGAACGCTTCAGGGCCAGACTTAGCTTCGACCCAGCTTGGAGGCCATCTCATTCCCGGCCTTGCTCCAGCTTTGCCTCGCCGCCGTCCTGGAGGCCGAGCCGGAGGGCCTAAGTCGAGAAGACGCGTGTTGGTCCTTGTTGGTGACCAGGCTTCGGCGCTCGAGCGCCTGGACCAGGTCGGAGTCCTGCCTCTCCTTCGCCAGAAGTCCGAGCAGCGCAGGAGCTCCTGGTCAGAGTTATGGCCGTGGCCGTGGCTTTTCTTCGTGTAGGTTCTTGTGGGGTTTAGGGCTGTGAGGTCGCTGCAGCACCGGTGCTGAGCTGGTCCTTCTGCAGCTTTTGCAGGCCATGTCCCGCAGCTTCAGGTGAATCACGAAAGGATGCTTGATACTTCTCGCCTAATTCAAAGCCGCGCTTGTCGCCCAGAGCGGCACCTCAGCACCATCAAGACCTGCTTGTTTCCAGGCCGTCTCCCAGCGCGACTATGATTGGCCGCTGGAGTTGATTTCAAAGGCCCTTTTTGGGGCATGTCGACCGGGGAGATCAACTCCATAAGAATATCTCGGTCGGCCCGGCGCAGGGTCTTCTGCTCGTCCTTCCATGCTCGCGCTTGGCTGTTGCACTCCAGGTCTGTCCCTCTGTGGCAGTGTCTTGGCTTGTGCTGGCGGCTGCAGGGTTTGGGAAACAGGGAATTTCAGAAACTACGAGCCCTATCTCAAGGACCCCATAGCCTGAGCCCTGGAAGCCCAAGTGAAGTGAAGGCCTAAACCCTCAGGACCCTAGGGACCCTAAACCATCCAAACCCAAACCTTAAAAACCCTCAGGCTGAGCCCTGAAAGCCGAATTCAAGGCCTAAGCCCTATAGGGACCCAAAAGGGACCCTAAACCGTCTAAGCCTTACGCCCTAAGGCCCTCAAGAGCTGAGCCAAGAGCTGAGCCCCTGGTTTTCAGGTCAGGCCGAGACCTTGGCTCCACTCCGCGGAGGCTCGCCGGCCCCAAGCACCTCAAGCAGATGAATAAGCTATAAAATATAATATAACATAATATAATATAACGTAATATAGTATAATATAAGATAATATAATAAGGTTCCTTTTGAAAAGTTTAGGGTTTAGGGATGCGCGGGCTCGCACAAGAATTAGTTTTGGATTGGGCAGGCGTCGAAGCGAACAGATGCGTGGCTTCAGCCTCTAGGCAGCAACTGCTGTTCATGATGGGTGACAGCGAGAACCCTTAAATGCCTTAAATGGTGTGGCACGGGTGAACTGGAAGAAGCCGTAGGAATGCACCTTGTCTGTCAACGAGACTGTGCAGTGTACAGTGCTTATCCGCCGAAACCAAAAGGCGAAAAAAACATAAAGGCTTTTGAAATTTTGTGCTTGGGATTGGAGGGTCTGAGGGCGTCGAGGCCAAGAGAAAGGGTGCGGGTGTAGGACGCTGGGATCGCACGTTCGGGGCTTCCGGTGTTCATGGATCCGTGTGTACCTTGAACCTCAACTCCCTTTCTTTCCAGGTGACTGTGAGGTTTATGTTTCATGTGTCATGTAATACTGCGCCGTTTCTCCCACCACAAGAAGGTGTACAAAAGGGAGGACTCTGTGGGAAGGACTCTGTTGGCATCAAAGAAGAGCATCGGCGAGGCAGAGAGGCAAGAACGTATGGAAGGAGACGGGAGGTTCGGGGACAAAGGGACAAACAGCACGGGAGAAGGAAGCATCCTGCCTCGAGCCCTTTCTCGGGCCTTGTATGTCCCACGAGTCATGGCATCCTTGGTTAGGATAGCCCGATCATGCTAACCTTAGGCATTACTCCACAACATGTCAAACTTGCTTGTGAGAGGAGATTTCGCAGTTGGAAGTTTATGACTGGCGTCAAGTCCAGCCAACGACTTTTCGGCAAGTTTACATTTGTGTCTGTACGTGCACACCTGTTAAACTGTTGTGCTAAGGCTGTTGCTGGCCGATGATGATGGCCGCTCGCTGCAGTGGCTGCGAAAACTAAACTCGACACTGAGTGGATGAATGCTCACCTAAAGCCTAAACTCAGGATTCGCATCGGCCGAGCCATTAGCGGGATGCGCGGCGATTGGGTCTGCGAGGAAGCGGCTGTCCTGCGCCTTGCTGCGTGAGACCAGCAGGGACAAAAAAGCATCCTCGCAGTGTCTCAGTGTAAATCTTGATTTTGCAGATGAGGAAGGCTGCGTTGTCCACGATCGCAGGTGGCCTCAAAGAAGAAGGTGCGTGTCCGGCCAGGGAAGGCAAGATTCTGAGTCCAATGCCGGTCTCTTTCTTTGGCAGCAACCTTTCGGTTGCCGCAAGAGTGGGCATTGACAGCAGTTGAGCACACCGCATCCCTCTCTTCGTCCGCTAGATGCACTGAATGCACTGAGCACAGTCCTTGCAGGCAGCTGCTCTTGCCGGCGTCGTGATGGAGTTGGATGACTAGAGTCTCGAGACTCCGAAAGTGCGATTTTCGGCAAAGAGGGGGCAGCCAAAACCGACAGTTTAAGTGACACAGCAGTGTGTTGNNNNCAAAGGCGCATCTCAACGGACATATGCTCATCACAGTCAAGTTTGAAGCATGCATCCTTCCAGCTACGTCCTCGCCTGCAGCCACGACTGCTGGTCTGAGTCCCTCCATCTGCATTTTCCTTGGAGGGCCATGGAGAAGGCAGGGCACCATGCATTGATGGTGGATGCTTGCATTGATGGAGAAACCCGGCTTGTTTGCAGGGTTCCATGTCGAAGCTCCTGTGGGAGTCCGATGTTTTGATGTCGCGCCGCCCTGTTTGTATCCAGCGTGAAGTGCTTGCTGCATTCGACGGAGTCGCGTAGGC